TTCTTTTGAAGATCTTGTCCATGCCATTATCTTGGGATTCTTCTCCTTCCTGTATGCCTATGAGTCATAAGTTTGGTCTTTTTATGGTGTCACACAATTCCTGCATATTCCATTCTTATGATTTCTTAAATTTCTCATAATCTTTACTTGAGTGGTTTAGTTCATCCACTTTATCTTCCAGTCTTGATACTCTGTTTTCCATTTCATTCATCCTATTGGTGAGGCTTTCTCCTGTCATTTCTAATTGGCTTTCTGAGTGTTTCACTTCCTTCTTCATTTCAGCCTGAGTAGTCTTCAATATTCCTAGCTCTTTTCTGAATTCATTCAGAAGTTTATCCCTATCTTCCTTCAGTTCTTTGATTTCTTTGTGTGTTCTTTAAATTCACTGAATTCTTTTATCATGTTTATAATTATTCTTTTGAGTTCCATGTCCTGCATTATCTCTAGGGGGTTCTCATTATACTCCTCTAGAGGACTATTGGTATTTATTGGGGATATGTTATTTGGTTTTTCAGGTTATTATTTTTTCTCTGTGATTTTGACATGTGAATTTCTTTTGTAGGTTCTGATTTTTGTGTGACACTCAAGCCTTCAAGTTTAGGTCTGCCTTTATGGTTTACTTTTGGGGCATGAAAAGCTGGCTCATTTAAGCTTCCGGTACTCTCTTTTAAGTTTATTTTGGAGTGGCCAAATTGCTTTTGTCTTCAGGATTTCCTATAGAGGCCCAAGTCAGGTGAGAATCAGATGCTCTTGGGCTTTCTCCTAAGGTCTAGATCCCTCCAGGAAAGATGTTGTCCTCAGGAATTTGGGGGTTGGACTGGCCTGGGAGCAGGGTCCAGGAAAGATGCTGGTCTTGGGCAGCTGGTGGCCATGCCACCCACAGATGCAAAGGGAGATGGGGGCGGGAAGAAGCCCCAGGGGCTCCCGGGGACTGCACTGAGGAGCTGGGTTGGTGTGGAGAGGTAAGCCCTGGTGTCCAGGAAAGAGGCTGGTGGGTTGTGCAGCTCAGGGAAGCAGAGGAAGGTGAGGGCAGGCCCAGGCCCAGAGGGCTCCCATGAGAGAGGTTGGCTGCCCAGAGAAGCAGAGGGAGGTGAGGGCTGGACCAGGCCTAGAGGGCTCCTGGGGATGTAAGGGATCTGGAAGCAGTGGTGGTTCCGCAGGAGAGGTCAACCCTGGTGTCCAGGAAAGAGCCTGGAAGGTTGTGCTGCCCAGGGAAGCAGAGGACGGTGAGGGTGGGGCCAGGCCCAGAGTGCTTTTCAGGACCTGGAGAAGGAACTGCGTTGGTCTGGATGCAAAGGACCAGGAAGCAGTGGTGGCTCCCCGGTATCTGGGACTCCAAGACAAGGAATGGGACAGGACCCAGGCTAGGAGGAGAGTCGGGTAGGGGAGATAGGAGGGTGAATGAGGCTGAGGGAGTCAAGGCATGGAGGCTGATGGCACGATGGACTTAACCAGGAGAGAGGCTGGTGGGTTGTGCTGGCCCAGGGACATGGGGAGGTGAGAGCGGGAACATAGTTATCTTTCTTACACATTCTTACCTGCCTAGGGATGGTTCTGCCTACAATGGGCTAGTCCCTCCTCTATCAATTGCCAATCAAGAAAATGCCTCACAGACATGGTCAAGGCCAATCCATCAGAGGAAATTCTCCAATTGAAGTTTTTTTTTTTTTTTAAAGATAAAGAAAGATGAAGGAAAGTGAATAAACCTAAAGGACCCTCAAGCCAACTAGCATGCTCATTATGGAAGTCTTGGGATGAGGAGTGAGAACGAAATTACTGAAGAAATTTAATGGACAAAAAAAAAATCCCAGTTTAAGATAAGAAATGGACCTTCAATTTTGAGAAGTTTAAAGGACTCCAACTAGGATGAGTCAGAAAAGCTTCCAACTGGGACAGACAGTTATAATAATACATTATAATCTGTCCAAAGTCAGAGACAAAGGGAGAATCTCAAAACAGAAAAACTGTCTTCTCATGCATAAGAAAGCTTCCATGAAGTTCCTGGGATACAAAGAGGACTGAACTGGGCCTTTCCTGTACTTTCTTAGATACTGACGGTGTTTGGCTTGGAGACAGGATCTTGCTATGAGGCTTAGTCTGACTGCTAACCACTATGTAGCCCAGGCTGGCCTTGAACTTGAAAACCTCCTGCCTCAGTCACAAATGTGTGCCACCATGCTGGACTTTCTAGTGGATATTCTGATTAAAAGTGAAACTAATACTTTGATAATTAAAGAATTTTATATAAAGAAGCATTAATAAAGGAAGTTAGAACTCTTATAATTGCTTGAAGTATCTGTATTTACCCATAAATGTTATTACTTAATACAAAGTAGTATTATTATATAAATATATGAATTTGCATCTATTACACAGATATTTATATTCAAAAAATAAGGGAGAAATCACAGCTTGGAGAAGCCAGGAGTTGGGAGCTGTCTCCCAATGCACAGAGCTGTACTGAGTTACAGGCACATGAAACATGAATACATGGTCATAAATGCCTCCAAGGGAAGCAAGCAGTATTTAAATAGACAAAGTATGGTGATCCACACAATGGAATGTTAATCAGCAATTAGAAGAAACAGATTAATTCATCCAGTATAGGTAAATCTTAAATGCATCAAGACCATTTGGAGACTGGTCATAGGTACATGGGGATTCATCATTATCTTGTTTTTGTATATGATTGAAGTTTTACAAAATAAAAGTATTAGAATGGTATTTTGATGTAGTATTTTAATGACATCACAATGTTTAGGCGCTTCATGAATGTAACTGAAGTTCCATATTCTAAAGATAGAAATTGCACCTGAATGTTGCACATCAAACTGCTGCTTAGACGAAGATGAAGATCAAGTATATTAACGTAAATAACCTTATTTTATGAAGATACATGACTTAAGCACATTTGAATGATTTCTAATATACAGCTCAAGGGGAAAACACTTATTAGTCTTAAGAGTTTAACTTGCCTGGGTGCTAGAAAAACTGCAGAAAGCTCCCAGACCCCAAGAGCCAGACCCATGCAATCTGAGAAGGTGGAAAGGGGTTGGTAAGGAGTACCTTTCCTTCTGTGCTCTGGTCAATGGAGGGCCTGTGTGAGGGAGGAGCTGTTTGTCAGAAATTTGAAAACAGAAAACCATCAGTCTTGATCTAATTACTTGAGGTTATTTCTTAAGATGATGCTCACCTGTAGGTTTCCCCAACTGTAATGCAAACACTGACATTTCCTTCCTCCAAAAACATATATTCCTAAAAATTGAGAGTTGGGCTGTAGTTCTGTGGTAGAGCACTTGCTTAGACAGGCTCTGAGTTTGATTTGTAGCACTGCTAGAATGAATGAATGACCATATTTCTCCAGAATCAGCATTTATATATGGCGTAAGATACAGGAATGTGGAGGACGGACACACACACACACACACGCACACACACACACACACACACACACACACATCAGCAAAATACTACTTAGCACATCTGATGTAAAAGGTGCTAGACAATTTTAAGTTTCTTATGGAACAAAATAGGGGACAAACAACTAACAGACTAGGCAGAGACACAATGTGGGTGATCAAAGGGCTGAACTAGTAGAATTAGGAGCTAGGATTGAGTAGATGCTCTAATTAAAGACCAAACTGATACTTTCATAATTCATAACTACTATATACATGAATCCTAATAAATAGAGCTCTTTATACTTGTATTTAGGAGCGCATTTTGTTACCCATAAATAATATTATTCATTATTACATAAATGCACATATTGTACCTAATACATAGATATTCATATTTATGTAAATGCCATCTATTATTTATCTAACACATAAGTTATTATATGTTAACCATACTTCAGAGTTGACTGTTTTACGTTAAAGCAATGTCAGAAAATATTATGTAAATCTCTGTGTAAAGGTATGTGGAAGTCTACTTGTGGAAATTCAACATGGCTTAATTTATCACCAGGCACAAGACCCAAATCTACCACCTCCGTCTTCTGCAGCTTCTTCCTCATTCCCACTTCCTCTCTCCTTGAATAGGACACTTGCTCTTATTCAGAACGCTGAGAAATGACTCAACTAGGATAGGCAAGAGAAGAAAAATAAAATATAACTGGGCACTGAGAGACTAGCCCAGTAGTGGGGTGCTTACCTAGCATGCACCCCAGGGGAAAGGATATACCTGGGTGCATCTTAGAATCAGCTTTTATTTGTTAATTACTTATTTACCTATTTATGTGTTTATATATTTATTTGGTAATTCTGGAGGTTGAACCCAGGGACTTGTGCTTACTAAGCAGGTATTCTACCACTGAGTTACACTCCCAGTACTTGAGTTCGTTTTTACCACTGCATCCCAGTTGACTGTCATTGTTACAGTGGCATTATTATCGTTGTTGTGTGTGTATGATGTGCATGTAGAGGAGCATGTAGAGGTCAGAGGACAACTTTGTGGAATTGGTTCTTTTCTTTCACCTCTACCTGGGTTCTGAGGATCGAACTCAGGTGGCCAGGCTTGCCTGGCAAACACCTGTACCAGCTGAGCCATCTTGCCAGCCCAACATCTATATATTTATCTTTTTTTAAAACTTTTAAAAAAATTATTATTTTTATTTTATGTGTATACATGTATCACCTGCATGTAGGTAAGTGCATCCATGTCGTGCAATGCCCGCAGAGGTTAGAAGAGGCTGTTGGATCCCTTGGGACTGGAGTTATGGCCAGTTGTTAGCTGCCATGTGGGTGCTGGGATTCGAACCCGGGTCTTCTGCAAGAACAGCCAGTGTTCTTAACCACTGAGCCATCTTTCCAGCCCCTGTATATTTATCTTATACAAACACTTTCACTAAGTTTGCTTCACAAGCCTTAATGTGCTTTGTTCAAAATTGCTACAAATACATTATTAACATTTCAGGCATGCATAAAAATAGACACTTTTGGTTTACCAAGAAACGAAGATAGGGAATTGTCTTTGGAATTTTTGGTAAAACAAGTTTTTGTTAACAAATTTTTTTTTGTTTGGTTTGGTCTCATTACTAAGAAATCAGAAGGATTTTCAGAGACAGGTGAGGGTTTCCTGTTAAGTTACTAGCTGTAAACTCTTGGTTTCAACCATTCATGTCCAGGCAGGTCTTGAGCAGATGGGTATGCAGGTTACTTATGTTGGGTGTGCTGGCCTCCCTCCTCCACCTTCACCCTGACCTCTGTGTTTCTGTTAGTGGTGCATTGTGGAAGTCTGTGATCATGTGCTTTTACTTTTTACCTATGTACTTCCACAATGCTTGTCTTTTTGAAATATATGTAATTCTTAAATTCAAATTATAAATTTAAGATGTGCAGAATGCTGTGAACCCCTGCCCCATGACTATCCATATTTTCCCACTCCTCCCCGCTTTTCCAGTCTTCCTTCCTTCCTTCTTACTCTTTGCAGTCTCTCTTTTATGAGTTATTTAGGGTTCTCTAGAGGAACAGAACTGATGGAATGAATATATATATATATATTAAAAGAGGATTTATTAGATTGGCTAACATGATATGGTCTGAATAGTTCAACAATGGCTGTCTCACACCGGAGAGGCCAAGAATCTTGTCCACACGTCTGAGTGTCTCAGTAGTCCTAATATGTCACTGAAGGCCTGGAAGATTCCAGGAGAGCTGCTGGTCTTCAGTCTATGTTGGAAGCCTGAAAGAGCTGATTTTAGTATCAATGAAGGAGTGCTGAAGTGGCAACAGCAGGATAGATGAACCTGCCCACAAGAGTGAAGGCAAGCAGGCAAAAAGCAAAGCTTCCTTCTTCCATGACCTTTTATCTGGGCTGCCACCAGCAGGTGCCACCCACATTTAGAGTGGAACTTCCTATTTCAAATAATTTAAATAATTTGATCGAGAAAGTCCCTCACAGATCTGGGAATGGTGTTGCACATCTTTAATCCCAGCACTCCAGAGGTAGAGGCAGCCAGATCTCTGTGAGTCTAAGGCCACCCTGGCCTATATAGTGAGTTCCAGGTCAACTAGGGCTACCCTATCTCAAAAGCCAACAACAAAGACAAAACACAAAAAAAGAAACGAGAGAGAGAGAGAGAGAGAGAGAGAGAGAGAGAGAGAGAGAGAAAGTTCCTTACACAGGAGTGCCCAAGGTGACCTTTTAGTTGATTCCAGATCCAGTCAAGTTGACAATCAAGATTAGCTTCCCTCTGTCCCTCTGTCCCTCCATCCCTCATCCCTCCCTCTCATATAGATTCTCTACTCCATCCTTCACAGGAGCCATTTTAAGGGAGTCCTCAGATGCCCTCATTGGTAAATATATCTACCTTCTGGTGTTAAGATTGATATTCTTATAGGCCACGGTTCCAAGAAATTTGTACAAACTGATGGTTTTGTTATTTTGCCTTTATTTTGTCCCCTCTCCTGTTTTGAAAAAGTTTAGAAAAGCATGCTCTTCTGTAGTTACTTTTCCTCCTGCTTTGTAGTGGCTGTCTTCTCAGCCAGGGGAAACAGCCATACAGAACTGCATATGTCCAGAACCTGTGAAATTTTGAGAAGAGGACCAACAATTTAGAAATTGAGGGGACCTCCTGACCTATTCTGAAAATGTGGCCTGATAAAATTTTGTTTAAAAAAAAATCCAACAGAATCTTGTTATGAACACTTTCAGAGGTCTTCATAGGATAGTGTATATACACATATATGTGATTATATTGTTTATTGTGTGTGGAGATGGGGTGGTGGAGGTCAGAAGACAGTTTGTAGGAATCTGTTCTCCTTCCACCATGTGAGGATGGGGAATTGAATTTGTGTATTGGACTTGGGGAGTCAGGCTTAGCAGCAGGTGCCTTTACTGACTGAGCCATCTCACCAGCCCCTTGATAGCATATTTTAAGTGCATTTTTTTTCTTTTTCTTTTTCTTCTCTTTTTGTCTTTTTGAGACAGGGTCTCCCTGTAGCCTCAGCTGTCCTGGAACTCACTATGTAGACCAGGCTGGCCTCCATCTCACAGCGATCCACCTGCCTCTGCCCCCGGAATGCTGGGGTTAAAGCGATGTGCCACCACATCCGGCAGCTAAGTGCACTTATTTATGGAGGGGTTCAAGCCGCTTGACGTTGGTGCTGGGAACTGAACTCAGGTCCCCTGTAAAAGTAGTAACTTCTCTTAACTGCAGAGCCGGCTTCCCAGCCCGTGAACTTCTGACCTTTCTCTGCAGTTCTTGTGTCTGTCTTGGGGGTCTGGCTGTCAAGATTGTTCCCAGGCAGTTTGGATCTCTCCAGGGTAGCACCCCATTGGGTTGGGTTGGGTTGCTCCTGGGCAACATGAGCCACCATTCCTAACAAAAGAGCTTTGTGTTATGCTGTGTGATTTGGACTCTTATGTAAACTTGGGGCAGAAAACTAATGGGAAAATGGGAGGCAGGACGGGTGGTACCTCTCAAACCACGTTGTGCTGATGGATTTGGCGTGCCCCATTAGATTGTGAGAGACCTGAAGCCTGTGCGCTTTCATTTGTCTTTGTATGCCTAGCCCTAACTAAGCACACTGTGCCTGCCTCGCTCTTGGAGTGCTAAACGCGCCGTTGCTGGGTTGAAATGCTGCAAGAGCTAGAAGGCAAGATGCAAATTGTACTATACAGCAG